AAAATCCTTTAATTTGTTTATTTTGTTACAAAAAATTGATTAAATTTGTTTGTGTCATTCGGACTTTAATAACAATAAACAAGTTCTTACAGTCATATTCTGGATTTTTAATAAATATTTTATAGACCCTAATTATACGATTCGGCCACATGTGGATGACCAAATCGTTAAATGTGACCATTTCATGAAATTCTCGAGCATTTCATAAAGTGAGCAAATCTACGATATGGCCACGACATATATATCTTATTACCTAAATTATTTCGTTTCTCATAAATTAAAACGTTACATATTTAGTTACAGTAAATTATTTTATTGAATAATTACATTTTCCGTATGGAAATTCAAACGAAAATGAGCTGACAGGCTGTTAAATCTTAATTAGCTGTTTTGATTGGTGGAAGGCAAAGAACTTAAGTCCATACAGCCTCAGGAAACAACCTGCCACGTCAGTTCAGTCGTTTCATATCTTGGTGCGTTCCATTCTACGCACAAAACTGAAAGAAAACACACGCTTTGTTTTTCTATTTAATTGCAAGTTTTGTTAAAAGCCCCTAAAAAAGTCCGTTTTAATGCACGTAACTTTATTTATTTATTGACTTTTCGTAGCCTTTACAGGCTACCTCGTCAGAATCAAACTTTTATTTAATTTGTCGAGCTACCTTCGAAAGACTTTTATTGAGCGTTCGGTTATTTCATTGTTCGATTTTTAAAGTTTTATTGTCTATGTATGAATTTATTATTTAATTTACTTAATAAAGTATTTTATTTAAAATTCTTTCGGTTCTAAAATTGGGAGACCTTTCTGAGAAGAACCGGCGAAACAAACTCAAGAGAGGCTTTCTATCTCCTTCTTATGTTAAATTATGCAAACAAAAAGAACTAATAGTATCTGTTGGTCTTGCAGTGTGTGCACGGTTCCCAACTTAGGGGTTTTGCCCCCAGATTTAGGGGCTAGAAGGGTTAACCCGTAAAAACTAGTTTTATTTAATGAGTGATGTGCGTGAAAACTTAAGAAACAAATATATATATATATATTTCAGTAGTTCAATGATGGTAGATTAGTTTTATAAAAGTCTTTGATAATAATTCTATTTAATTCAATATCAGAATACGAGGTAAACCTGCATTATTTTTTGGAAAAACTATCGGAGGTTAGATGTTTTTTTTTGATAAATAATGAGATGGAAAATCAAAATTCTAGTACATTATGTTACAATAAAAACATATTTCCGATGTCGTAGTAATTAATTTGATCTAATTTATTGAACATTATTGAGAAATTGAGGCGTTTGAAGTTGTGCATATTATCGTTTTTTTCCGTAAACTGCAGTAGAACGATCAGTACAAAAAATGGTTAATAGTATTTGTAAATTTTCTACATTAACTTGCAAAAGGAAGAATAAATCTACCGTTTAATTCTATTGGAAATAGTCAAAATCTTTTCTAAGGGGGTAAACGTGGCGATCAAAAATTACGTTTTTTTGCAAAAAATGTGTAAGGGCTCATAAGGAATTAAAGTTTTGGATTAGGATTTATATCGGCCCATAAATGTGCGAACAGCAATAAAAATATATATTTAATATCTCCTCGCTTTTTAAGTCGGTGAATAATAAAATTGTAAACTATGTATATTCAGTACTGCCATGTGCAAACTTTTTAATTTCTGCTTTCAGTGGCGGATTTACCAGTAGGCTCAGTAGGCTGGAGCCTAGGGCGGCAGATATTAGGGGGCGGCAAATTTGGCCCAAAATATACCAGAAAAACGAGTGACAAAAATTTTAATATTTTAGTAATCCGTATACAGGGTGTTACAAAAATACAAATAAAGCTTGATGGGCGTTGAAGTACATCATATAAGGAGTCTTTTCTAATTTTCTTAAAATATTTGCATGAAGTTTTAACTTTTTTATAAAAACAGTTATTTTTAATGATTAATAAAAATATCGATAATTTTAAGACACGTCACTAGTTCGAGGATCATTAAAAATAACTGTTTTTATATAAAGTTAAAAATTCATGCAAATATTTTAAAAATATTAGAGAAAACTCCTTATATGATTAACTTCAACGCCCTTCAAGCTTTATTTGTATTTTTGTAACACCCTGTATAAAAGATTACTAAACCCACTGTAAAATATAGGTACTTATGCGATCATGTATTTTTAAAATATTCCAATAGCGTTTCAATATTAATTACAATTTAAATTTTGCAATTTTTTAACTAACGGGGAAAAGCCCGTACGTAATGTGGACAATAGAACACAAATCATAAAGTTGCAATTTCAGAATAAATATAATTGTGAACTAGCGTATTGAATTTCAAAGGTCAGTAGGGGCACGGTAATAATATCATACAGTATTCTATCTTCATACAAACGGCCGGAAAGCGAGTCATACCTACGCCACTCGAGTTCGATGGGCTCTCGGCGGGCACCCAGTCGCGAATGCGCCGCCGCCGCAACGACGACCGAACGGTCTGAATTGTTTTTTATGCAGTTAGCCGTGCTTAAACGTGCGTTTTGTATTGTAAATATTTGGTTTAATTAAGTAGATATCTACATTATTTAGTGTGGAAAAGAACAGACGACGATCAATATCGTACAACAGCACAATTGCTGTTTTTGGTTGCTTGAACTCTTCAATAACACACCCAGAGATATCATTTTTTAAATTACCTAAAATATTGGAAAGGTGTCTTACCTTTATAGCATATTTTTTATATACCTATCTACTAGTACGTAATTTGTTTCTAGTATTTAGGTTATTTTTCCATCGGGCAAAATATCTGGAATAATATATAAATAAGTGGTTAGGATGAAAAAAGAGACAAACGAGCAATCTACCTACACTCGCGTTAAAAACAAAACTACATAAAATACTGTAGGCAGGCGGCCCTACCGCGTGCTAACGCAGCGCTCGGCCGTAAGCATTTATTTTCAAGGACAGGGCGGAGTCACAATACTGTATAGATAATATTACCGTGGTAGGGGCGGCAAAAATTGAATAGCCTATTAGCGGCAAATTTGTAAATCCGCCACTGTCTGCTTTTATCAGTCCATTGCAGACTTATCGTGGTCCGACTACATCAGGTTCTTGTTCAGATTCTCCAATTCGGTTTCTCCGATCGGATCTTAGTTTGAGCTAACGAAGAAGGACGAAAAGGCTGTGACAGGAATATGTATTTCCACGGTGATGATTTATGTCAAATATTGGTTTCAAGCCTCTACGAGTTAGTCAGCACCAAGAAACGACTTACAATTATTAAAAGACCTTAAAGCTTTTGAAAGCTTCAACAAAAATATAGCTAATGTTGCGCTGAAAAAAGATTTTAAATCATTTGTGGTATATGTCGGAAGAGCTAGTTTCGCTTGCGTTTTTGGATGACGAAGTTTCAGTTCAAGAGAAAAAAAAACGGTAGAAGCACTCAAAATCGAAGGCACAGAAGATTGCTTAAAACGAACAAACCTTGACATCGCACATATCCATAAAAAAATAGAAAACTTTGTGAGCAGTAATTCCTTAAGATTCTTTCAGACCCTATGTCTCTCATCTGTAGAATATATAGAGAACGAAGACGCTGGATTATATAGCTAGGGCGGATCCAGCTTTGGCACCGGGGGTCATATAGTCGTAGTCAAGTACTGTGACTTGACAGATACAGATACAGGTACAGATTGTGAAGTGGGTACAGATGGACCCAGCCCAGGGGGGGGGGCATCATGGTCATTCATTGCGAATAATGAACGAGATAGCTGAGCGCGGTGTTGCTTTAATGGAAGACTATAATTAATTAATTACCACAAATGAAAAACAAACGCAATATTTGCTTTTGTTGGTAAAAGCGTATAGGAAAAAGTACCCTAATACTAACAAGTCAACCCTTGTATCTTAAAAATAAACAAATCAGATATCTACTTAATATCTTATTTAATAACAATAATTTCGTAATATTTTGTAAGACCTGGGTATAAAATAAAAAAATCTAACAAATACAGATTTTGAGTTTTTATTTAAAATTCAAACCTTGGTAGCGATCTCTAAATGTCATTTAAAAATTACTGAAATACTTTTTTCTGGTATAACCAAATTACGTGGAGGTGGTGCCCCGCGATATTAAAGATTTTTTTTTTCACCCCATTATTATTTATGTAAATATATCTATATAAATATGATGTATGTTTCATCGCTGCCTGAAATCGACTACTACTTTTGAACCGTCCGTCTCCATTGTTCGAGACCCTCGCGAGTCCGAATCGTGCTTGTCCGTTTATTTTCTATAATATTACTCTTTTATTCGAAATCAATAAAACGGCTTATTTCTAATCGCGATAAAATTATTTTTATCTTTTTTCTTATCACAGTCTTCCGTTTTTTAATTTGTAATTATTATACCTATCACATGGTTTACAAAATATTTTTTTCCATAGAACGAATTTTATTCGTAATTTTTTTTACTACCTAGGTATCTAGAGTCTGTGCGGAAAGAGATTGGGATTTATATTGGAGGGCGCTGTAGTGCTTTTCTACCGTATTTGTAAGGTTTTACCCCTTTTAGACATGATTAAATACAGAAAACCGCAAGAAATCACAACAACAAACAAATCAGTATCAATAGAAAACTTTGACGTTTTACAGATTGCTGGGTTTGATTGCCAAATAAAAATCTTAATGTTAGTTCTGTTTTACGCCACGCCCATTCTCTTTCCGCACAGACTCTATCAACTTAAAACTTACTTAATTACTTGTACGAAACAGGTTTTTCAACCCTTGAACCGCGGTCCGTACTACACCTTAGGTTTAACTTTTTACATTTTTACAAAACAAAGCTTACAATGGCGTGAGTGACGTCTCCGCTTCGGTAGGTATTCATTGGCTTCAGTTATGTGTCTTTGGCAGATACAATAATTTAATGCAAATTTATTACCGAGCGAAGCGATATCGTTGTTCGTAGTATGAGCTGAGTGAAAAGTACCTCGTCACTTTACAATTTAGTACTCCTAGTCTTTTTTGGAGCCAGATATCTCTCTTCTCTCGGTGTGTTGTTCAAAATGATTATCGAATTCCATTTTATTTGTAAATGTAGCGTTACAATCTGTGCATTTGAAAGGTTTTACGCCATTGTGCATATGCTGAACATGTCTCTTTAGATGAGAAGCGCGCGTCAAGCGCATACCACAGATGCTACATACATGGGGTCTATCCCCAGTGTGCGTTAAAATGTGTTGCTTTAAGTCACTGCGCGTTATGAAAGCTCTGCCACAAGTGTCACACTCAAAGTTTTTCTCGCCTGTATGTCTTCTGCAAAGAAAAAAATATTATTGATACAAAGAATTTCTGTGCTGAAGGCATAAAAACTAAAATATTATGTTTTAAAGATACCGAAGATATATACCTTATATGATATTGCAAATGTCCTATTGTTCTAAAACTACGTGGGCAAAGCACACATCGGTAAGGAGTTTGTCCTGTATGTTTACGTTTATGTGCTGCAAGCCCAGCGGACTGAGCAAATGATTCTCCACATACTGTGCAATGAAGTGGTTTCTCACCCTTAAAATAGAAAATATTTAGTTGTACACCTCTAATAGGCTAAGGACACACGGAGCAGATTTTCAGTCTCTCCCGCCGCAGCTGAGAGCAATTTCACCCGCTGGCCTGCGGCGGGCTTCGTCCGACCTTCTTTTGATTAGTTTACTAGCGTTTTTGCAGTAATTGTGGGATCGCAGAAAACTGCGGACTCGGGACTTTTGAATAAACACAGCTCTGCGGCCGCCCGGTGGTGCGACAAAATACCACTCCTAAAATATCGGCACGGCCGGCAAGTGATGTTGCAGCTAAGGCAAAGCGAATCTGGGTCTCAAATAGTTTTGAGTTCCCATGCAGTGTTGGTCATTTCGAGATACTAAACTACAAAGTTTGGGAAACACCGCAACTTGTTCAGAGTAACAATATACCGTTTTGACCCGGTCCGTTCCGTATTTACCAGTAAAGAATAGACGGTAAGACAGCTACCGGTTGGCCAGCGTTTTACAAGTATTAAACATTTGAAAGAATATTTTAAGTATATAACTGCTAGATTTATAAATCCAAAGAAAATGTTACTAGAAAAATTGCACGCAGTCCAGGCAGGAGATGGGAATCGAACCCGCACTTTTAAGATACATACTAAGTTTTTCAAAAGATTTTGATCCTTAAGAATGACTCTTTCGGTTGGTACCTATCATGAAAACGTCAGGCTGGTTTGTTTTTAACATTTTATCGGTTTCGATTCCTGGCTCAAACAGGTGATTTTTCAAAAATCTTTCAATGTAGTTTTAATAATTTTTAAGAATAAAAGAATGTTTCCTTTTGCCATCATTAATATAAAGGGTACTTTTCCTCCAACCACGAACTTTTTTTCTACCCTGTAATGTGAAATAGAGAATGCTTTTAAAAAAAATATTTACTTTTGCAGAATGACATAATAGTTTGCAGAAGAAGAATAATTATTGTACCTATATAGTCAGGTCATAAATTCTGTCACATGTTTAATATAAAATAATTGAAACAAGTTAATATACCAAAATGACTTAACAAAACAAAGATTCTTATGACAATAAAGTTTATTCAAAATGACCTCCTTTATTTTGAATACAGGCCTTCAATCTGCGCGGCCAGTCGTCTATCGCAGCACGAACGAGGTCCATGTCAATATCGGCGGCTGCCTTAATCAAGATGTCTTCAGTGACATCAAATTGGGATGAGGCTTTGAGCACGCCTTTTCCTCCAAGTGTTGCCATATCTTGTAATCTAACGGACTCAAATCTGGACTAGAGGAGGGCCAGTCTTCGTGTCGGATGAAGTCGATTTCACGCGCCGCCAGCCAGTCTTGTGTGCTCTTCGCTCTATGATCTGGCGCCGAATCTTGTTGGAATACCCAGTGCCTGTTATTGAACATGGTATGAGAAACAGGTTCCACGAGGTTCGTCAGGACTGTATTTTAGTACACAACTGCTTTCGTTTTTACACCTTTGTCACAAAAATGTACCTCTGTTAAGCCCCAATAAGAAACTCCCAACTATACCATGAGCGAGGATGGAAAATGACCTCGTTGGACATGCGGTATACGGTTGCTCGCTTCTTCACTACTGTGTGCGTACACCTTATCATTTTGTTTGTTGTAGCTCTCTTCTACGGTAAAAATTTTTTCATCCGAAAAAAGAATATGCCGATATTTTTTTCCCGCGTACCGCTTCAACAAAGCGCGGCATCTCTTCAGTCTCAGGTCCATTAGACGAGCATTCAAACGATGTCCTGTTTTTCTTCGATATGCCAGAAGCCCTAAGTCTTCATTTAACACCCTTTTCACCGTGGTTCTGCTTAACCCCATCTGAAGGGCCAACAGTTTCTGCTTACGTTTGGGATTTCTTTGAATTCGCGCTTTCACAGCTCATCACTGCTGGAGTCCTAACAAACCGAGGGCGACCACTTCTTGACCTGTCATCTACACTAGAGTCTTCATTGTATAAACGAATCTTTTGGTTTTATATTCAAATTTTTCGGTATATCAAAAATTTGAATTTGCGCGTAACCGCAACGATGCAACGCAATAACTGCAACACGGTCTTCTTTAAGCGTCCACTCCATATTTAAAAACGAGTTAAATTCTAACAAGTATATATTTTTATTTTCATGAACAATTCGAAATTCGAATTCAATAAACTTTTTTGTCGCCAGCATTCTAAAAGAAAAGTTTTTACTGTGACAATACTTATGACCTGACTGTGTACTTTCATAAAAATATAGTTTTCTTTCTGTTCACTGTTACAGCCCAGCCTCCATACACAAATATAACATTTCCTTTGTCACGTTATTTAATTAATTACCAGACCAGATTCTTGTGGGATTCTGCAAAAACTAACTATAACACTGACAAAGTAGTAGGTGCGAGCTAGTTACAGCTACAAATTACAAAAAATAACCAATTGAATTTATTTTATCAATTGGCAGCTATTTATTATTGAGATATTGGGATACTGAATTTTTCTCTTAGCGGAATGTTTGTTAGCAACTCAGCTTCTTTCTGTGTTATAAATTTTTGAACTATGGCTACACACGCAAAAAAGCGTGACGTCATGTCAAAAGTTAGTATTTTTTTTAATTTATTTTAAGAAACCAACAGCGTATTAATTACAAATTTACTACATTTACGGCATTTAGTTATAAAGAAAGGCCAATTCCAGATCTCCTTTAAAAATTACGGTGAAACGGAGTTCACAAAATATGTACAGAATATACAATGATTTCCATCAAGTTACCCTTACTTTAACACTGCATAAAATAGATTACATCATAACAAGAACACATTCTTAGTTCAATGTTCCATAGTGTGTGAGATGAGGTTGAGGGGTTCCTTCGAGCCATCTTCCCTCTCCAATACTATGTTGCGTTATTTCTTTCTTATATACTATATGGTTTCATATAGCTCTACTTTATGTTTTAATATTAGTTGTCCAACATGATGTTTTTCATAAATAAGTACTTACAGTGTGTGTTCTTAAATGCACTTTTAAATTCTGTGCTAAGGAGAAGTCTTTTTTACAATGTGGACATGAGAAAGGTTTTTCCCCTGTATGAGTCCTTATATGTGTTTTCAAACGAAATCTGAAACAATAAAAATAATGCTTTAGGGTTTTCCATAGTCAATAAAAAACATATATACATAATTTCACAAATACATTCCCTACAAGTTGGATGATGGGATGATATTTTTTTATTTCTCCTCAACCTCAGTGTGTGGTGTCATTAGATAGGTCAACTATCTTTTTGAAGGGTTTTATTTTTGAAATATAAAGCTTTAATTAAAATGATGTCAAAAAATCTAAAAGTCTTAAGGTTTGGACACTTGCAAGTTACTAATTGGATAATGTTGATATTCAACAATTATTATTGATAGCTTTTTTTTTTCTATAAGCAAACTTTGTGTTTTCGTTATTATTATTAACCAATTATTTCTCAGTTGTAGGTTTTCAAATGCGTTGCACTAATTTTCTTTAATATTGTTATTACCAATACAAAAAGTCAGCATGGCATTTGAAAACCGTTAGCTGTCAGAAATAACAAAATGAAATCATAAGCTATAGCAATAGCCAAAGCAATCCCAACAGGCGGAAGGCTGTCAGATTATATTATATAGTTTTATACAAACCCTGCAAAATTCAAGTGATAAACAATATAACAATCATTACATACACAAAAATATAAATATCCACTTAGGTCACAGTTTCTAATTAGTGTAGTGTAGATTTTAATACTATTAGGTAGTATTCCTTTTAAGATTTTTTTTTATTTAAAGTAGTTTGAACATGTCTATAAATTTCATTGAATGTGAGAATTCAGGTATTATTACCTAGTTAAAAAAGGTTCAAAACAGATGCTTATGGTAAGGCAAGAAACACTGGGGAAAAAAATATACTTACTTTGATGACATGACTTTACCACAAGTAAAACATTGTTGTTTTTCTATTTTTTTATTAATATTAGATTCATTTTTTAAATTTCTAGTACGTATTCTCTTTTTATTTAAAATTGCTTTGCTTTCCACTCTAATATCAGGGCAAACATTCTTGTCAAATTCTAATTTCAATACAATACTGTCCACTTTATTCTTGCAATCAAGTACATCCTTACTAGAATATTCAGCAATATTTGAAGATTTCTGGTCTAACTTGACTGAAGCTCGGAGTTTTAAATCAGAAACTTCACACAAATGAATAAATTCTAAACATATTTTTAATTTAGAAATGCATTTCATACAAATTTTAGTAAGCAGACCATCGCCAGGATATATCTAAAATATTTATCAATAATCAATAATCTGTATAAAAATAAATAAGTGAGTTTAAATCAGGTATAGCACATAGGCTATAACAAAAACATACATGAACTTTCGCCAATCGCATGATTTTCGTAGAGAACATTTCTTCTTTTTCTGTATTAAATATACTTTTTGTGAAGCCATACTCTAAACAGATTCTACATTGGTGCGTAGTCATCTTTGATAGATGAATTTTTAATTTTTTAATAGATTTTCATAAAAAATATTTATTTACACAAGTTTCATTGACAGGTTTATTTAGACTGCGTTCAATACCTACGCTCCAAGTAAAACTTTTTTACCCTGACGTTTCAATAGGGAAGATGCATATATAATATTTATGAAAATTTTATGATTAAAATGTTAAAAAAATATAAAAGAAATTCCACTGCAATGTTTTTATTTTACATAATGTTGTTTTTTAACAATTATTACGAATTAAAAATACTTGAAACGGAACGTATTTTAAAACGCCAATCAGCGTTTAGTGACGTCACTCCTGTTATGACAACTTCTTTGAGGTTATGGTTGTTAAAGTAAATATTATTTTATGGGAATATTTATTGCGTTTTTATACATTTAATAAAAATGGAAGTTGCGTTTATCAAAGCAGACTCCAGGAATTTACAAAGAGTTAGCGTTGACATGGTTATAACTTTTTTTGTCCAAAGTGCGGAGTTTTTAAGTGTAGAAATGAAAGGGACTAAATTACTACGGTATGTAAAAATCGTAGTTGTTAAACTTCGTATTTTATTCAGCGGCTTCTACAAATCTTACGACGATAATGCAATCGGCTATGTCCAAATTAAAAGAGATGGAGAATTATGTACAGTAAAAGGTCGAGTTCTCCGGAGCATAAAGTACGTAAAGAAGGTTATCGTGTTACAGTTATTTTAAATGAAACGCAAAGCTTGGTTCAGTCCTGCCAATGTGATTATTGTGCCACACATTTTAAACTTTTTCTAATTTTCGACGTTATTCTCCAACTGTAAAATTAAAAATATGTTATAGACAGGTTTTGTAAGTATAAGGTAGGTTACTAATGCGTTTTTACGTACAAGCAGATTAATTAAGCATATAACAAGTATATTCGCCGACTTACGTCAAAGTGATCTTCTCAGCGTCGAATAATGGTCTTTGAGGAAAAATTGTCATTTCTCTTCGCAGGTTGAAACCACTTTTTTTTCAGTTTTGGGTCAGAAGTTCCAGTCAAAAACAATTTATTTGGGAACTTTGTTGAAGTAGATGAGTCAACACGGCTTTTTTTCGGAATATTAGTGGTATTGTTATGATCACATGATGTTGATGGATAGTCCATTTTAAATGTTTTAAAAAAATATTTCGAAAGTCGAAAAAATATGCAAAAGTATGAAAATTTAAAGCCAGCAACGAACAAATACGACCAGTGAGAGACAGGAGTGACGTCATCGCAACCTTAGGTTCGTTTTCGCGCGAAAATTAAAATATTCAATTTAAACCCGCATTTTTTCCGATAAATCACAATGTTTTAATTTTTTAATATATCTGTGGTTTATTCTACATGGAATTCTTTAAAATGAAAAAAAAAAATATTGCATCTTCCCTATTTTTTGCATAGTTAGCGTAGGTTTTTGTACGTAACCCAGCTGTCAAGCCTCCCTTTATGAGCAGCGAGCTTAAAGTTTATTTTAAAGCGTTTTTATCGCGTTCAAATTGACAAATTACTATGGAGGTTGACAGTTAGATGTGATATAACAACCCCTGTAGCATGACCACCGAAACGGGATATGATAAAGTATAAAGCGATTTAACGGCATTAACTGTCAGACTTTCTACAGTGTTTATTTCCTTGATAACATTAAAATATGAAGCATATACCGAAGAAACATTATTTAAAAGCACAAAATAATAAAACGATTACTATTTTTGTAATCAGCGACATAGTTCAACAAATGTGGTTTTCCCATACATAATTTTTACCCCTTTAGGGGTTGAATATAAAGTCCCGTCTTAGTGAGCGTCTACGTCCTAAAAAGAACCCCTATGCAAAATTTGTAGTTTCTGGGAACGACATCATATCGATTTTTATATTTTCAAATAGGATTGTAAGGGTAAGGTGAAAATAAAATGTAGTTTTTTATTTTAATTTGTTTAAAAATTGTATATATTTGACAGATTTTCACATTTCATTTGACCATGATATTTAAATCTTTTAACAAGAAACATCTTAATTATGCTCTTTATCAAAAGTAACTTATGGTCGACACAGTGGTCAGAATCAGTATCAGCAGAAAAATACTTTTTAAAATCATACATTTCACATAAAAAATTTAAAATATATAAATAATATATTTCTGGTTTCGCTTTCTCTTTAATATGGATTTTTATATTTTTTTCTGTTTTTGGTTGTTTAAATCTGCTTCAGCATTCACATGTTAATCGCCAAGTTGAGCGCGAAGCAAACACTGCCGTACCATCCTTTACTGGAAACATTTCGCCGCATTTTTAGGCCCCTATTAGAGAACCTCTGGTTAAGACCAGAACGCTGAAATTTGTCCGTGAGGGCCGTGGCAGCATAATTGGTTAGTGCATTCGCCCGGATTGCGAAGGGTGCGGGTTCGAGTCCCGTCTGCTGCCTGGTCCGCGTGAAATTTTTTCTAGTTATATTTTCTTTAGATTTAAACATCAAGCAGTTACATGCTTAAAAAACAAGTATATAAATATATTCAATGTTAACAAATAAATTAACTTAACTATTTTATTTTGAATAGAATCTACATTAGACATAAGATTTTTTGTTAATATTTGTAACATATTACCACAGACTATTATATGCTTACGCATCGTAGAACAGTGTCGTGTCCTCTGACGTAGGGTGCGGCCAGAGTGCACTCAGATTCAGATTCAGATTCAGATTTCGAAAACAAGCGCGAGAAATAAACAGTGTAGTCGAAGGGTACGGCCAGATTGCACTCCTGATTTAGATTCAGATTCAGACTCGGAAAACAAAGCGCGAGAAAAAGCAGGCAACCTGCTTAGACTACACTGTTTATTTCTCGCGCTTGTTTTCAGAATCTGAATCTGACTCTGAATCTGAGTGCACTCTGGCCGCACCCAAAGGTCGTGTCGTGACTCGTGACGTACTATCGGTTTCGTAAAATTATCATGGTTTAGCTTTAGTTAGAGAGAGATAGAGGTTAGATTTTCAAGTTTATTTTGTTTTGTTTATTGACTACGTAGGTCTGTGGTCTAATTAGAAATCATTTTTCCTATAATATTAAATTAATATTAACAACACAGTACATTCATTTTTGATTGTCGTGTAGAGATTGGATCGCTGAAAATGACTCCTAAACTTTATCACTTCCCAATTAGTGGCCCTTCTCGTGGTGCTTTACTTGCAGCAAGAGCTGTTGGAATCCCAATACAAATAGAAATAATAGATTTATTCAAAAAGGAGCAACTGAAAGAAAGTTTCCTGAAGATTAATCCACAACACTGTGTTCCAACTTTAGAAGATGATGGTTTCATATTATGGGAAAGTCGTGCGATTGCTTGTTATTTAGCCGACAAGTTTGGTAAAGATGATCAACTTTACCCAAAAGATTTAAAGCAACGTGCTATTGTGAATCAGAGGTTGTATTTTGATAGCTCTTTACTATATATCAAAATAAGAGCAATATGTGTAAGTACCTTTCCACTTTGTATTAGCTAAGTACTTAATTATTTTTATAGAAAAAACTCTTTATAAAAAATATGTACATATTTTTATGAGGTGCCCAAGTTTGATTCCTTTATTAAGATTTTGAAAATAATGGTCAAGAAGCCCTTTTCTGTCACACCACTCACACCTGACTTTTTTGGTACCTGATGAAAAAGTTAAATAGTTTTTTTCTTAGGTTTTTACACACATCACTCATAAATAAAACAATTCTGAAGCAGCCTGAAAAGAATGCGTAACGTCATAAATAAATAAATCAGTGCATCTATACCATTGAAACATTTTTTATTTAAGTTGAATAGTGGTATCGATTCTGGTATGATTCTCTGAAACAAACTTAAATTTGCCAACACTGTATCCTTCTTCTTTCTAAATGGCTTTGCAAGGCTTGTGCATTTAGTCAATGTCAAGTGTTAAAATGTTTACAAATAATATAGCACTTGTGGTCAAAGTAATAAATCAAGTCAAAGTGGCAGTCAAGTCAATCCCCCTTTCTCTATGTTTCAGTAAAAGTGTGGGGATTTACTGGAACCTCCCTGTGGTCTCCTTGAGGGAATGTCAAAAGACACTTTCCGCTGTTTCATTTGCCAACACTTGTGCATGTTCCCGAACACTTAGTGGTTAATAATCCACCATTATTAGACACTAACATCCGCCACAACACAATTTTTAACAAGAAAAACAAAACTGCTGAAGTGAAGCTTCCCAATCCCACCAAAAAGTTCGAATGTATCCTTGTCATCATCTAAACAGAATCAAAAGGAGAGACTGATGTCAAATTTTGATTTAAAGCCAGAATCAACACCAGTGTTACTTTTGTTGTAGAAATCAAGCCAGAATCAACACCAGTGTTACTTTAAATGCTTTTTTTTCTTTCAGTTTCCTATTTTGTTCCTTGGTGAAACAGAAATAAAACAAGGTGTCAAGGATGATCTAAATATAACACTAGGTTTTCTTGATGAATTCCTTAAAGGAGGCAAATGGGTAGCAGGCGACCATATAACTATTGCTGACACCTCTATTTATGCATCTATGTCAAGCATACTTGTGAGTAATTTTTAGATAAAGTACATACTACTAGTATTGTTATAAATTAATGCTTTACAAATTCGATTGGAATCTGGTATAAATTTAGGTAAATTGTTTCTTGAGATTTTTTTCTGAAAAATAAGATCAAATAAAAGACAGGTATATATAGATAGGGGGGGTATTGCCATTTTCTCATAGTTTTTGCCTTATTTACTTACAGGCTGTTGGGTGGGACATTTCCAAATTTCCTAACATTCAACGCTGGGTTAAAGATTGTGCCGTATTGTCTGGGTATGAAGAAAATCAAGAAGGAGCTGAAGCTTTTGGAGCTGCTGTAAAGAAAAATCTTAAACAATGATAATTATGTATTACAAAAAAACTGTTAATTCTGTAAATATTATATTTTTCTAAATATAATTAATGGTTTATCTATAAAATTTCATCACCATTTGTTGTTCATTCCTCACCACTCTTTTTATGACGCACTCGTGTCTAAATCCAAAACAAGACATGATGTCACAAACCTCTTTTGGAATGTTTTCTTCAATAAGCAAGAGGTAAAAAACACCATCTTCAGCTAACTTCTTTGGTATCATATCCAAAAGTTTATCAGTTACTTCTCTGCCATTTTTACCTCCTGCCCAACTGGCTACTAGATCCTTGGATCCACATTCCCCACTCTCTGTTACTACATAAGGGGGGTTGAATATGATTAAATCAAATTTATTATTTATAAAAGAATCAATAAGGTTCATATTAACTGAATCAAGTAATGCATTATTATGATCAGCTGTACTTTTAGACATGATGCAAGCTCTTTTATTAATGTCTGTGCAGAGACAGAATGTCTCAGGAAATGCCATACTAACAGCAGTTATCACAATTCCACTACCAGATCCTACTTCCAAGCAAAATGTTGGGTTTTTTTCTTTTAAGTAGTTCAAATCTTTTTCTAGAGCATCAATTAAAAGGAAGCTGTCCTCTGCTGGTTCATAAACATGATCAAAATCAGACTTATTTATGTGATTTTGATACGGGGTCTCCATTTTAATTTATACTTCCTCTTTCTGAAATCACACCACTTGTGCTTTGTTCAGGCTCCTGGGGCAGAGCACCAGTAATAACAGTTGGTCGAACACTTTTCTCTTTGTTTATCATTCGACGTATCTCATTTAATCTGTCCTAGAAATGAAGTTTTTAATTAATAACAGGTACTTTTTAATAAGGCATACATTCTTGAGTTATCCTAAATTTCAATCTGCACTATTTTTTACTACAAAATCGCTTATACCATAAGAATGTAGTATTATAGTTCTATTCATAAACCCATCTATTTAACAATGAACTACATCACAAGCATAGATAGTTTTTGAGTACTTAAAAACTATGGCTTGTCACTTTTACCTGTGAGGCTTGCAATACATTAAGAACAACTGTCACTTTGTGTTTGCATGCAATGAGTTTCTTAACATATGGATCCAAATCTGGGTGATTATTTAATGCTTCTCGCACTTTAGAGAGCTCTTCATTCAAAGACTCTATTTGTTGCTTCAATTCCAACTGTGATATTCTGAAATGGGTATTTGTAAATTATTATGTACTTTAAAAGACCCTGTAACCTACAATTAAAGATTTTTAAACAATAAATTGGTGTTGAATATGGCATGACACTCAAAACCTAAACATAAATTTGACAACAGTGTATTCCTGTCCTCTTTACAGCATGAAAAAGATAGAATGATGTTAAATTTAGTTTTATGTTTATGAGAATCATGCCAGAATCAACACCATTATTAAGATAAATTCTAATACTCTTTAAATGATGACAAGGTGGGTAAACATAAATAAACATTTAGTTCTATTGCTTTAGTTTTAACCCAATGTATATAGATGGAAGCATGAGCTTCATTCACGAATACTGCAAACATTAGAAGAAAGAAAGGACACAAGCAGGAATATATTAAACGAAGTTTCTGTAACTATGTTGTACCTACTCAAAATCCAAGTACCTCAAGTGCTGTTTTTGTTATTACCTAGTAGATCTGACTCGTTCGTCTAGTTGGTCGACAGTAGGCTTCAGTAGGCCCAAAAGGCCTTCCGCAAGTGTATCTCTAGTCGGATTGTCACATAAATTACCAGTGTTCTCATCAGCTGATGTTGTCGTGCTTTCTGTGTCATCCATCGCGTTTGATAAAGAGCCAATTTAATTCTTCATTTTAAAGTACGTTGTGCAATTAAACAGTATTTGCCCGAAATTCATGAAAAACAAGCTGAACAATCGTCTTACTTCACTTTTATAGCCAGTTTTTAAAGCCACCTTTTCCACTTTGAGCAGATCTGCGTTCAGAACCTTCACTCTAGAATTCTAGATGCAACTTTTTACCATGACGTTTCTATTTTGACATAATATATGTATGGTACTGACGTCAAAATTGACATTGATTGGACCCTGGAGCGCAGATTTAGAACGTTTTGAGCTTTGTTTTTCCTCCGTGGTTTTGAGCCACTTGCCGGGGTTGCAAGAAGCAATTTTCTAATTTCAGCCAGATTGAAAATTATTTTACGGCAAAATTATACCTTTTCAGAAAAAAACCGTCAAAACCCGATTATGGAACTAAGTAGAGCTTTGACCAATTGTAACACGTTTTTATTTTTAATATACTTACTAGCGTCCACTTGCGACTACGTTCACGTTAACTTTAGTTCTTTGAGAATCCCACAGGAACCTGGCATAATCCGGGATAAAATAATCATATGTCTCAATCCAGGTCATAAACTATATGCATACCAAATTTCATACAAATCCGTTCAGTAGTTTTTGCGTGTGACTAAGAAACTTACAAATTTCCACATTTATAATATTATGTAGGATTTACAGATGAAATGAATTTCGCATGGTTTTTTATTTGCACTACTAAGACCAAGACCATTTTAAAAAAATATTTAGAAATAATCGACACGGCCATAAGGGTTGCGGTAGCATAATGTGACTTTTGCACTGACGTGCATCCACCTGGATAGCGTCCCGTCTGCAGCTTGATCCACGTGGATTTTTTCTAGTAAAATTTTCTTTATATTATTATTATTTTTATACTTAATATCCCAAAGCACGAACAAGTGTCTCATGAACATTGTTTCACATTCACTGATGACTCTGCTATCCGACTTTGTTTTAATACCGTTATCGCCAGAAAAGCGTCAAGTTCAATGATTTCCGCCAACTGTTCCGAAAAATCTCTCTAAGACTAAAATTTTCTGCCAAAATGGTGGATTAATACCCCAATCTGACATCACTGTTTCGGACCAGTATTGCCAACGAAAATTTTCAGCCGGACGTTGGCCGTACGTGTCTATAAGCCGTGTCCTAATGAGCAAAAAGAAGATCAAAAATGCTTGACAAGCATGCTTGATGAGGCTTGACGCAACAACAAAGAATGCTTGTCAAGCATCTCATCCATACTCATTTTTATAAGGTCGCCAGCCCCCCTAGCATGAGTAACAAAACGCGATATGATAAAGCGATTTATCGACACTAACTGTCAAACTACAATGGAGTTTGACGGTTGAGTGTCGTTAAATCACTTTATCATATCGCGTTTTGTTAGTCATGCTAGGGGGGCTGGTCGCCGTTCACTGGTCGCGTGAACCAGTGTTGAAATTGCGCTCAGGAACATTGTGCACATAAAACAGCCCAAGATCCGGTCGCAAAATTTAGCACCCATTTGTTTTTTCAAGAATACCTATTTTATGTTAATTTTGTTTGTTACGATTTGTGTTAAGTTTTTTTGTTATATTGGTTTTGTATTACAACGAATATCGTTATAATTCAAGAATTAGTAGCGAGTACCTATACATTGTATTAATCATGGGTTGCTATAATAGATATACCATTATTTTAATTTAGTGACATCCACTTTTTATCGGTTATATATTACCTGAAAATCATAGCTTGTTATGTTCAGGCGTACGTGAAACTTCAATTTGAGTATATCAATAAAAAACAGATAACTAAATATTCAATAGAAATGCACCTATTCACCCGTGGCAACCTAAGGTTGCGGATGAATGAGAGGTGGCAACCATTGCTTTTTCAATTCTCCACATTATTTCCTTTCAGAGGAAGTAAATTTTATCAAGATTTAATAAAATATGGATGATACTTAATTGAATTAAAGGTATTTGCACCATTTTTTTCTGGGCAACCCGTCCCTAATGCATTGTATACTCACTAATCATGCATTTATATAAAATTTCTTTAAAGAAAAGCAGATGCCTGCTTTTCTTTAAAGCGGTGGGTTCTCGAACTTGGGCCCACTGATTTCGTTCAAGCAGAAGCTGTTACATATAAAATAACAGCGAAATTAAGGAATAATATAAGTGTCAATAATATATTCTAGGTAGTTTTTATATGGATATAAAGGAGTAGTGGATCACTAATTAGTAGATCACTTTAATTATAACATTTTAATCATAACATTTTAATTTTGACATTTAAATTTTATTTTACCATTTTAAATTTTGACATTTAATTTTTATTTTACTATTTTAAATTTTGACATTTAATTTTTATTTTACCGTTTTAAATTTTGACATTTAATTTTTATTTTACTATTTTAAATTTTGACATTTAATTTTTATTTTACCGTTTTAAATTTTGACATATTTTTGAAATTCTGAAACTGTTAATACTTAGGTGTGAAACCGATTGAATTGAATTTAATTTTTGTTGTAAATGTAATTGTATGTGGAGATGTAATTTAATTTATTTTTATGTATCATAATTATTACTATTTATTATTATTTTGTCATTGGCATGCTATGATCTTTATGATTGAAATAAATGAATTATTATTATTATTATTAGCTCGGTGATTATCACTTCCATCTGTCAAAAGCAGATAAAAATTGGTCAGTCACAAAAGCCAGCAAGGTTGCCGTAGGGTGCGGCCAGAGTGCACTCAGATTCAGATTCAGATTCTGAAAACAAGCGCGAGAAATAAACAGTGTAGTCGAAGGGTACGGCCAGAGTGCACTCCTGATTCAGATTCAGATTCAGACTCAGAAAACAAAGCGCGAGAAAAAGCAGGCAACCTGCTTAGACTACAGTGTTTATTTCTCGCGCTTGTTTTCAGAATCTGAATCTGAATCTGAGTGCACTCTGGCCGCACCCGTAGGCTGGAAGTTTGGTTGGGCAACCTTCGTGCCAAGCCTTGTCGAAGGTCTTTGAGATGTCAAGCGAAACAGCAAGACGTGCTTCCCCGTGTTTTTTGATGGCATAGCCCGAGCAGCGTGTCACATATACAGAAGATCTCCAGTCGACCGTCGCCGGCAGATACCATATTGACGACCACGGTTGCGGTAGAACTCTCTTATTAACCTTATAGATTCACACAGTCACCGGCAGTGGCGGTCTTAGGGGGTGGCGAACAGGGCAATCGCCCGGGGCCTCGCTCCTACAGGGGCCTCGCGCAACAACCCAAGCAAATTTTAAAAATATAAAAAAATAATACTATTTTTTCAATGACACAAGATCGGCTTTCAGCCCTCGCTATTCTTTCAATCGAAAATGACGTAGCTTATTCGTTAGATTATTGTGCTTTAATTAAAGATTTTAGTCTTAGGAAAAGCCGCAAACATCAATTTTAAAATTTATCATCTCTGTATTTGTTAATTTTGTGAATCTTTCAATGTAAAATATTTTAAAATTCAAATTTGATTTATTTGTATAATTTAAGCATTTTTCTTTAAACATGACAAATACCTAAACCAAACAACCAGACCTACTTTCGCATCACATACTTTTCACGAAGGACAAAGGGCCTCGCAAAGACCTGCCGCCCGGAGCCTCGCAATCGGTAAGGCCGCCTCTGGTCACCGGACTTAAAACAAACTAGCTTTTTCCATAGAAACTGACACGACGATACATATACTTCTCGCTAGTTGTTCGTGCTAGGGGTACAGAAACCAACTCGTACGTAAACACATTAGTCGGAGGTTCTTCGGAAATAAAACTAAATATGCAACTTAGGGCTAGCGAAGGTAAAAAAAAAATAACTTGTTTAAAAAAGAATTTATTTCTAAATAGTCCCACAATTAAGATTCAAAATCAGGCTTCTACTCATGTGCCTTACATTTTACATACTTAATTGTTAAATTCATCCTAATAATAAACAATAGCATTAAAAGTAACTTCTAAAAACATGTAATTTATTCCTTATCTAGGCAGGTACGTACTAAAAGCTACCGTGTAATATTTATTGAGCAATTATACTAAATTGTTCAGTCCACATAACTAAGTAGGTTAATTACTTTAGAGAATAGTAAAGACTGGTTTAGGTACCTAATTACTTATTTCTACATTACATTAATTGAATCCAAAAGAAATGATATTCCTACGCGACTCTAATGAAATTAATTTTAACTAACAGTTCAGTATCTAAGTAGGTACCTATCCAGTGGCCAGAGCTGTAATTAAGATATATATTATAAAATGTTGGGGGCGTGCCGCTCTTTGCAGCCTGTGTCGCCCTGTTTTAAGGTAGTGTTATAGTATTATAAGGTAGGGCAATCCCTCGTTATACTCCTGCCCCTTAGCTACGGCCCTGTACCTATCCACATCTTACGTTACTAAAATGTGATTAATAAATGTATAATGGATTTGCATTATAAAGTGTCTATGAGCATTCGCATCTGTTCTTTAACATGGGTTTCCATGTCAGAGAAATCTTTCAATATTTCTTCAATCATTTCCACTAATATCGATGGCCATTGTAGTTCGAGTACTCGCAAACGCTGTGCGGCCCCGCATGCCAGTTGAATTGTATGTGACAGCTGGCCACGTCCGCGGACTCGCCAACTCATGTCCTCCTGTATTAAAAAAAACATTGATCTATACTAATATTTTAAACGTGAAAGTGTGTCTGTCTGTCTGTTACCTATTCACGCTTAACGCGCTTAACTCATTTAGATGAAATTTAGTACTTACATGGATAGTTTGAATCCCGGGAAAGGACAAGGACCAATTTTTCAATTAGTATAATATTCACAAAGAATCTGACATTCTCTCGCTATTGTTTTCAGGCGAGATTTTAGGCCTAGCCAATGCGGCGTTATTTTTATGGCCATGAAGAATTACACTTAGCTTTATTATTATCTGATTGTATATCATTGCTATCAATTATTATCATGACAACCTTAGATTTCCTGCTTTTCTTACCTTAATTTAAGTTGTCTTTCTTTACCCTATAATTATGTTATTCAAGTCACATTATTAAAAAAAAAAGTTACTATTAGTTGTGTGGAATACATACTTGGGACACGTGTCCTTTTTTGAATTGAAGAGCTTCTTTTGCTATTACGTCCCGCAGTGCAGGATCTGCCGCTCTTAGCCAAGCTTTTGCACTAACAGTGCTGTTGCCGCTTCGTCCTAGACGCGATAATAATGGCTGCAACGGTGCATCAGGGAGCGCCCGGAGAACTATATCACTGAGACCGTTAAATGTTTGATTAGCAGATTTGATTTCTTCATCTGTAATCTGAAAAATAAACAAACCTCGTACTTTTCAAAGTCAATACACTTAAAGCTTCTTGGCGTTAATATAGATATTATTATTTTATTACCAATTCTTCGTTTATCTCCTTTAAGCCCCAATGAGCCAGCCTGTATACTGCGTATTCGCGCCAAGTTTTGGAATTAATGGGGTTGCCTTCAGGTAGTACCGTTAGACCCGTTAATCCTCTCAACTCAGCTAAGGCATGTAATTGACCGAGCCATTGAAGACCCGTCGCTCGCACTGATATATGGGTAACATTTGGGAATCTAAAAATGAAGAAAATGTATTTTTTTATTTTTAAAGTTGATATGTGCGATATGAAACCCTAATAAATAGGAAATATAACGGGAAACTGACTTTGATTTCAGCTCTGGCAGCGATTGTGCCACTGCGTTGAAGTGAACGTAATGGAAAGCTGCTCGCGAGACTGTTCGCGCTTTTTCCCATTCCCAGTCTCTAGCGAGACGACGAACCGCACCAGCTCCCCAAGCACTTACCGTGCCATCACTTAGTTCAACCAAATAATCTACGCCTGCAAATTACAATAAATGTATTTTTTTCTATTTAACTACTACCACCGCATTATTTGACATAGCAACTAATCAGCTAAACACTTTACAATAAAAAATTGCGACACTAAACATCCTATTTCACCTGGCCCCATCCTACTAATTCATAGAGCTAGATCAACCTTATTGCGGACAGGTATGCTACACCGGCGGTCGAAAAGGCCTTCATCAGGATAAAGCGAGATTGTCATTCAGCGACCTTAGCTCGACCTTTTATCACGTAAATTGTCTTTCCATATCTTTATAAACTCGCAAATTCGGAAGAGCAATTCGGAGATGAAACAGTGGTTACTACTTTTGGTCTACGAACATCAAGCTTTTGCCAGTTTTAGGTTGAGTGACCAAAAATGTATTATCTAGAGTATTCTAGAGCTTCTACATGCTTCGTATAATTAGATGGTATGTTAAGCCATTGGCCCTGACTGCATCTACAGTCGTTAGCACCGTGGTGTGTCAAAGCTATTCACACTATCCCGTCTAGGGAAGCCTTATGCTCCAACATTCCAACAGTGAGGATATTGATAGGCTGTTGATGATGTAATTTACAAACCTTGTTCTCTATCTTTAGATGCAGGCATTTGTTTAGGAACTGGTTCAGAGGATTTTAAACTTGCCAAGCTTTTACCGGGTTTAGCACGTGCTGTAGAAGCTCTATTAGCCGAAGAAGCCCTTTCGCTCCTTCGTGTAATAGTAGCGCTTCTTATATTTCTACTACCGTTTCGACTATTCAAAGAACCTTCTCTTCTAAAACATTTACTGTTTTGATCACTTCCTGACGTAGACGATGTTGCTACCGACCCGACATTAGTGCTGCTCGATATGTTGCTCGCGTTTTCACTGTTATCAGAATTCTTAGAATTTGCCTTGACTTTGCGGCTTTCTGGGTCACATACAGATTTCGATCTCATTGTACCAAAATTTTCTCGTCTCCTTAAAGCAGTTGGAACGCGTCTAACTTGCCGGTTTTTTGGTTCGTCTTCACTTTCGCTAGTGGAAGACGGAAGAGAGCTAAATGACGAATCGACTATGGGTTCTACGCTAGATATACTTTCCCATCTTTTTAATATTGGCTCACTGCCTTCTGATAGTTTAACGTTTTCTAATGATGATATTATGGGTATTAAAATTGGTGGTAGTTTCAAGTCACTATTTGTAGAGGTTGAAGCATCAGTATCTTGAGATGCACTTCTATCTGAGAAGTTCACACGTCTCTCAGATATTGTATTCTTAGCTGTAGTACTTCTTTGTAGCTTTTTTATTGGTGTTTTTGACATGCTTTCCGTATTTATTATAAGATTTGTATCGCTATTACTATTCTTGAAGTCTGAATCTTCTGTGTCTGCTTGCTGTAATTGTACTACAACATCGGGGAGTGCAGCTAAATCCATTGTATGGTTACCGCTTAATGGGGAAGCTGTCACACCTAAAGCAAATTCTCTGTCGAAATCGTCTGTTTTAGCAGCATTCATAGTTGCAGCAAAGCATTTGTTTTCTGACCTGAAAATTGCCCACTTAAATAAATATTATAAGCATTTATGAAATTTTAGAATTATTTCCAACGGTGGGTAGTATGTCAGTAGGTATACATATAACAAGCTTTAAATAAATAATTTGGCTGCTGACCTAAGTAATTCCCAGTTTGTACGAGCATTGTGTATAATTTGGTCGCGTCGAGCTGCTTGTGGTGCTGTTCCACCTAGAGCACAGTAAGCTGCGTGGGCGGCCTCTTTATTACTACGCCAAGCCATTGCTGCACTTCTGACCTGTTCCCAGAAAAGTCGAAACAGTGAAAAGATATTTCATAAAAGAAATATATCATTTTCATATGAAAATATTCTTACTTGTTCTGTCACATTCATGTTTGTCAATGTTTGTAAATTTGGCAAATATGATACAAGAAATGGTGTACAATCACCACCTAAAGCTACAGGATTGCCGTCCAAAGAAATGTCAATGAGCAAAGTAGCTTCGGCTAGAGATGATACGTCTTCAACACTAAAAAGTAACGGTGAAAACCGATTTTAGTTAATTTTTACAACAACAAATCAATCAAGTACAGAAAAAATATGCACAAGTATAAAAAAATGTGCTTTATAACTTGTAATACTTTTATTCTGCGAATGTATTATATCAATAAGGTATTTCAAAGTTTCTTATTACCTTTGCAAATCGTTATTACCCAGATACAGTTTTTGCAATTTAGGTGTATTCTGAAATCCGAGTAATTTTCTTAAGCGGTTCCTTTTTAAATTTAGTTCTCTTAATGACACAAGTCCTTGCAAATCGACTTGGCCAATGTATTTGATTTGATTTCCAGCTAAATTCAGTACTTTCAGTTCAAACAAACTGGATAAACCAGAAACTTTGGTAATCCTATTTCCATGTAAATCCAACACTTCTAGTTTTACAAGATTTGAAAGTCCTTCTATTCTCCTTATTCTGTAATAATTTAATTAAAGAAAGTTTATGGTGCCCATAATTTTTATAGTTTTGTCTTAGAAAAAATATTCGAAGAGATTCATGATATACGAACGGTTGATGTGATGCGCTCCTGCGTTTTGCTCCAAAGGTCCTGAGCTCGAAATCCATTCCTGGTAGTTGCATTTATTTGTACTATGGGCAAAAATTGCCCATACAACCCCTTATTACATAAGAAAAAGAAATCACCACAGTGATGATTTCTTTTGCAATAATTGAATAGCCGAAGACCAACAATTTATTTTTGTATAGTATAGTTGATATTATTATTTATGTACGAATTTTAAACCAACTTTGTTTAGTTTCCATAGGTTTCCATAGTAAAATCATCAATTGGTTCGGGACTAAATAATTGTTGTGTTGTCAAGTATTATAAAGCCATTCATTTTATTATTTATTCTGAATTGATTCGCTAATTTGGAGGTGAGAGCAATATTCCACGCAAGACCGCACCTGCGTCTTATACAACAAGCACAGTTGCTCGGGCGTGAAAAATCGCCGCACCTTGTTCAGGACTACGAGTTTGCATGAGGCCGTTTTAACCAAGCGTTTTATGACAAATGGCAATGTATTAATTGAATTAGTAAGCTTACCTATTTTTTCCCATGAGCAAAACTCTTAAGCTGAAAAGCCGTTCTAAACACGTGATTTTGTCTATTTGGTTGTCATACAGATCGAGAAATACTAATTTTCCCAGATCAAGAGGCGACAGCCCCGTGAGGCTATTGATCAAATTGTGTTGCAACGACAATAACCTAAGCCCCGGTTCGCCCACAATATGTGGAATGGATGATAATCCTCGTCTGTAACATGAATAGTAAAATTTTAAAACAAAGGAAATAAAATTAGATAAATCTGAAAATTAAATAAAATTGCGTTTAATTAAATCCAGCTCGCTTATTCTTATCATGGAGTGGTAAATTACGGTGAAATAGGTACTTAACACGTAGTACACGTAACACGCTGATACTGCAATTAAAGGTCATAGCGCACCTGATAACTTTTTTGACATTTACCGTACGTAACTGAAGTACAAATTGCATATCCATCGATGCTTTTCAGAACAAGTACCTTAGTAGTGGTATTATAATAAAGCAGTATTCGATCAGTAAATAGAGAGATCATCACTTCCACCTGTCAAAAAATGTTAGCGAATAAGCCTACAGCACCGCCTCTGGCTCTCCCACTTAAGATTTGTACCTTCCCCCAGTAAATCAAATCTAAACGTAGGCCAGTAATAAATTCCTTAAAGCCTTTAAATGGCTTCTGACGCCCCGTTTTCGTTCAGATGTCGATGTTTTTTTAAGGTAGAGCAATGTTATTTTAAGGCATTGTCCCAGAACGCCCCCCTAGCTACGGCCCTGATCCTGACCCAATCTGACATCAATAATATTAACTTTAGAAAAAAGAAATTTTCGTCTGTATATATTCATTCATTCTGTTGAGAATACGTTAAGACTGCTCTAAGCACTATGAATGTAGAAACATAGTCAACAGTTTACAAGTTTACGGCGTTTCTCACCGTAAGTATTCTTACTATATTTTTACGGTTGGTAAAGGCTGATTTGCTAAGGTTTAATAAAAATAATATATAACGTGTTATATTTACTACAAATATATAAAACAAATAGAAAATCAATGTACGAAATTATAAAAATGTGATACTAACTTAAAAACTACGCAAGAGTCTTTATTATACATATTTTAACTATTAAAAAGTTCGACGATGAACTTCTATCTACAAAACCGAGTGATTGTGAGGAGCAGCTATACAAGGTATTAGCAAACCATCGCAGCGTTTGGTCATTGTCGTCATGGATATAAAATAAAGCATGTTTTCTCCCCGTCATCGAAAAAAAATTATTAGGTAGGTAGATTCTATTTCCTATTATACCGGTCTGGTGCACTAGAGAAAAATGCTTTGTTTTTTTAAAACTACTTATGCTTTTTGTATCAGTAAATAAAACATATTATGCTCAACAAAAATACCGATTTGAAAAAGGTAACACACTTCCTACATACCTATCCAGTGTTATTCTATCCGGTAATCTATCTTTCTCTTGAGGGGTTCTTGATAACTGTACTTTACCTCCTCCCACTGCCTGTAAGCTGATTGTATCATCCTTTTCATCCTGTTTTTGTATGTAATCGTTGCTAAAACAAATTTGAAGTTAGTAGTTTGCAGTAATTGAGTTTTGACATGCCTTGGGATGAACAGTTTAGGCCAGTACAATCGGCGCGGTGGAGCCCACGTCGTCTTCATCGGCAAGGAGAGGGAGTTTCAGTGGGTAGGGCTCCCCATACCTAGCAGCCATTGAATTAGTCTTACGGTTAGCTGAATGGGTGGGCAGGAGGTGGGGGAAAGAGCCTCACACAACCTCGTCGCCTTATCGAGCAGCGGGGTATGTCTCACGCATTTCTCCATGTTAAAAGAGACTGATACTCATGAATAACTAGCTGTGCCTCGCGGTATTACCCGCGGTTTATTAGGGATATTTTCCCGCAGTAAAACGTAGCCTATGTGTTAATCCAGGGTCTCAGCTAACCCCATACCAAATTTTTATTAAAATCGCTCCAGCCGTTTAGACGAGAAGTAACAAACATTCACCCTCACATACTCACAAACTTTTGCCTTTTATTAATTAACTAGTGGCCCGCCCTCGCTTCGCTTAGGTGTAGAGCTGTAGTGTACACTATAGTTTTTGTTCTCAGGCTTGTATTATACACAGTGTTTTCCGAAGCACGGAGGAGCTCCAGATAGAAGATTTTTGGTCACCCATCCAATGACCCACCACTGAGAAAATTGCCTAACTTCAACGATCGCAGCCGAACGCGCTGACCACTTGCGCCATCGAGCTCCTCGATAAAACAAAAATATGTAAAACATTTTTTTCCGCGGCAGCGGGAATCATAGCGTCGTACTTCGTAGGTAGTAAGTTTGCAGGTAACATTGACTAAATTATCTACGGAAATGGTTATAGTTTAAGTTCTACAGTCGGTTAAAAAGATATTTATTGAAAGACGATGCAGCTAAAAAGACTGACAGATAATAAATGATGATTGAAAGGGACATATGCTTAGACTTAATAAGTGGCTATATTTTTAAGCATTTATCGGTTAGATGATTAAATGTAAAGAAAATTTTACTAGAAAAAAATCCACGCGGATGAGGTAGCAGACGGGACTTGAACCCGCATCCTCCGCTATCCAGGCATTGTCTTTCTAGTATATTTTTTTTATTATGTAAACATCTAGCAGTTACGTTCTTAAAAAATAAAGAAATATAACTACAAATGCTAATTTTCTTCTTTCAAACGTATATGTTATGTATATTTGACATTGTGGTTTACCTACAATGCGAAGAGATGGCAGTGCCTTGCAGCTAGGGTAGCTATTTGAAAATTTAAAAAGTCCTGGCAAAAAGCCGGACATTTTGATAAAAGTCCGGAATTTTTTGTCACAAAATGCAAACATCACCCACTTAGTTGCAGTGTTATTATTTGTACGCGTGGTAGCAGACACTCGCGGGGGGGTCTCGTTGTTGATTTTTAAAGATAATTTATATTTTGTTTTAAATTAATGAGCACTAAAGAAAGATTATTTGACTTATTTGACATAACTTAATAAGTAGTTTAACTCATGTTCCATCTAATAAAAAAATCGAACAAATTAAAAAGCCGGACAAAAGGCAAAAAGTCCGGACAAATCCGGACAGATGGTAACCCTACTTGCAGCATAAGAAATACTAGAAAAAATTCGACACGGCCATTAGGGCCTCGATAGCATAATTGGTCAGTGCATCCGTCCGCATAGCGGAGAGTTTGAGTCCCGTCTGCAGCTTGTACCGCGACAATTTTTTCTACTAAAATTTTCTTTAAATTTAGAATGGATGTATGGCTGAATAAAACAAATGCTGAATTGAATACCGATGATGATGACCGATCAATCTAAATAAAATAAAGATATTATCTCACCTAGATAACAGTGTGTTTGATCTTTGAACAAAAGCTGCTCGTGGATCTGCAAAAGCAGGTCTGATTTGTAAAAATAAGCGCCCATCGCCACTAGCACCTGTGTCAACCCTTGGTGGTACGCCAATATCTAGCGATTGTGCAGATCGTCCTCTTGAACGAAATGCAATTTTCCTTACCTAAATTAAAGAAGTAAAATTATTGATTTTCTATTCATTTCTCAGAGAAAAGGTAGTCATATGATTATGAGGTATACGTAATTGAAAAATGAATTATGATATTTAAATTATACTCACGTTACCACGGTTGTAATTAATAGGCATTAGCTTTTAAATTAATAAGCAAAAAGTGTATAAGCTTATATAATTGGTCCCTATTGAATGAGTCTTATTACTTTAAAATTCGTCTAAGTACTTTTGGTCCATTTTATCGGTGTCAACTTGTTGCTAAGTAACAAAGCAATAATTCGATAAAAAGCTTCCTAACCGGAATAAAATCAAGCAATTCCTTACTGAAACACTAGATGAATTGCAGAAAATTTACATAACAGCTCCAATGTGTGTACTTTCTAAAACACGAAATCACGTTTTAGGTATAATATTATACCATAGTCATATTTTATAGTTTACCGGTTAAAATCAGAACGCGTCCTTAATTTTTTACTACATTGGTAGTCCTGTAAAAAAATGCACCCTACGTCAATACCAAAGACTTTAAATCAATACTACATCAATCTGTCAATGCTGACTAGGGAATCCAATAGGAAGTATCGATACTGTACTCATGAGTAGTATCGGTAAAAAAGTATCGTACCCGTAAAAGTATCGAAACAAAAGTATCGATACTTCAAAGTATCGAGTACATTTCATAGGGCCTTATCGGAGCCTCTGTGGCCTGATGAGTACCCCCCCCTCCCCAGTGTTAAAATTGAAAGAAAAACAATCGAATTTTATTATAGTACGTATAATCAAAAAAAAAAGGACATGTAAATTCACAAATTGCTATATTATATAATGAAAAGAAAATAGCTGTTATTTCTGACACTAAAAAAGTGTTCATTAATTTACATTCATAATTAAAATATAAATTAAAAAGATCGAAATCTTAAACAATTTAAAAGTATGAAACTTTTCAGATTTGTTTTAAATTAAACTTACTTTTCTTGAATTTTAATCATTAAAAAACATTATATTCACTTATGTTAACTTGAATCTGACATGTTCACTCAAGATTATAATTATAGAAGAAGTTACGTCCGTCTTTTCAGGTGGTTTCAAATAGGTATACACAGCACAGACAGAATAATAGTGTTACACTTGAATAAATCAAATACAGTCAAGCGAAAAGCACAATAAACGGCGAATCAATCACAGTTCCTAACAATATGGTCGCTAAATAAATAACTATGAAACAAAACAAAGCGCAAAATAAACACAGTCACAGATTGGAAAGAATTTAAATATGTCAGTTACTGACTTTATAACAACGCAATAGGGCATTTGACAGTATTAAAAATAAAGTGCTAAAATAACGAAAAAGATATAAGTTTTCTTATCTATTGTCACGTAACCCAAAACGCTTGGGATTGGCGGTGCCTAAAATGACGTCACACGCAAGTAAACTTCCGGTCAAAGTGACATTACATTGTATCGTTTGACGTTTTAATAACAGTCGTGTGACGTCACACACTAGTAAGACGCCATATTGTCCAGAGAAACGTTTTCGCGGCAACTTGAAAATGGAGTTTTTGATTTGGTTATTTTTACTGAAATACACGACAGAATGATGAATATCCACTTTTTACGGACTCCTTAAACATTAATAAGGAAAAGTACTCGATACCACAAAGTATCGATACTTTTTTCGTGTCCCTAATGCTGACACTGACACTGCTGACAGATAAGATCAGAAATCGCACAAGGCAAGGATCAAGTAAGTTGGGAATGCTTTGAAAATAAAAACAAAACAATATCAGAATGATAAATATTCACTGATTTACAGCTAAAATAGTTGATCAGAAACTTATTGCTGTTAATGATTAAATATAGAATATGTTCCAGAAAAGTTTTCTCGTTGAATTCTTTGAGAAAATTGCTGTCCAGTGCAACTTTTAGATTCGGCCATAAAATGGTGCGTTTCTTTCAAAATCCGTACGAGGATTTCAAACCAGGTGCTGTTTTTGCGATAGGCAAAGATGAGGTTATTGCTCGACTAAATGAGCACGTACAAATCATTACTAAGCGCTTGCAACCGAGCCGCAAAAATGTTGATGGCGGTTTATATGTCGGTATAACCGGCATCTCTTACATGTTTCATAATCTATCCAAGAACCCATTGTTATCAGAATATAAAAGAGAATATCTGGAGAAAGCCTCGCACTACCTGAAGCCTGCTTTGGAGACTACAGCTGGTGATAAAACATCTTTTCTTCTTGGTGATGCTGGTACATATGCTCTGGCTACTGTTTTAATGAAAGAAATGGGAGATGAACAGTTTAAAGAGAAGCTGAAAATGTATAAATCGCTTTACCCTCAATTTTTAAATCCAAAGTTTCTTAAATGTGGTGGTGATGAATTCTTCGTTGGTAGAGCAGGGTACCTAGCTGGAGCTCTGTGGATGTCTCGAGAGCTTCAAATATCCGTATTCAGCAGTGAAGAGCTCTATAAAATTTGCGATGTGATGGTAGCAAGTGGGGAAGAATATTCTTCTAAGCATAACAGCCCTTGTCCTTTAATGTATCATTATTACAATACAGAATATTTAGGTGCGGCCCATGGGATAAGTTTTATTCTGCAAATGCTCTTATCTGTCCCTGGGTACATGCAGTACAAAAAAACTGCTGCCACAGCTATCAAGAGCACTATTGACTATATACTTTCTCTTCAGACGGAAGAAGGAAATTGGCCATGTTGTATGGAAGAAGTGGGCTTGAGTGACCACAAACTAGTTCACTGGTGCCATGGAGCACCTGGTACGGTGTACCTAATGGCAAAAGCCTATTTAGTATTTAATGATCAAAAATATTATGATGCATGCATAAAAGCTGCAGAAGTGGTGTGGCAGAAAGGTCTGTTACGAAAAGGTCCTGGGATATGTCATGGAGTTGCTGGCAACGGCTATGTATTTCTTCTACTGTATAGACTAACTGGAGAGGAAAAATATCTCTACAGAGCTAAGTTGTTTGCAGATTTCATGTACTCGGAGGAGTTTCTCCGAGATGCCAGATTACCTGACAATCCCGAGAGTCTATATGAGGGAGTTGCTGGAACAGTCTGCTATTTGTCTGATCTGCTTGTGCCAGATAAAGCAGAATTCCCTTTTCAGGATGTTTTTTCTAACTAGGACTGGACTTTCTGTATTTACTTCATATATTATTTGTTGCACAATTATGGATCTCCTATTTTAAATTTCAAATGAGTTGGTGACAGTAATTGAATCTATTTTCTTATCAGGGCAATTTTGTTGTCATTCATGTTGTTTTAAATAAAGTATTGTTTTGTCATTTGATATTTTCTTTTTATTTGTTTAGTTTGCTTCATATCATCATGAATCTAGTTGATTTGTATTTGAATTTAGTTTATGCAATGAATATTCTTCCTCTTAGGGACTTTTTTAAAGAAAGAGGTGTCACAAATGTTATCAATGTAAATTGTAATCAGAAAACCATATTTTGGCATAGTAAGTTGTTCAATGACTATAATATTTATTTGGCAAGTATTGATACTAAAGTAAATGTCAGTGAAATACCATATGGCCTTAATAAGATGGGGATAGTGGTCAATAGCTCCTGTGAAGATTGGTTGCAGGCATTCTATTATGTCGCAAAGAATATTTCTTTCAAAAGTTCTTTTGTCTGGCTAATAGTATCTGAAGATATAGAATCAACAGCCAATGCTTTGTCTAATTATTCAATAGAAATTGATTCAGATGTAACAATTTTATCAAAGGAGATGGATATTTATAATTTTTATGAGGTGTACCATACATATTACTTTTATGGTAAACTCTCTGTGAGATATGTGGGGTTTTGGAATGAGCATTTACAAATTATTAGAGGTGGTAAAAGAGATATAAGTGGCTTAAGAATAAAATGCTTTATGGCACTCACTGTTAAGTTGAAAAACGAAACTTTTGAAGAGCACATAAAGAAACCGAAAATATCTAACGGTGATTCACTCCATAGATTAAAATTTGTTGCACTGTTAAATCATATACGTGACATGTTTAATTTTAGGTAAGTGGAAAGTAATATTATTTGCTAAAAGTTATGTTCCATGAGTAAGTAGGTATGTAAAGATTTGATTCCTTTTTCAGTCTCGATCTTCAGCGCACCAATTCATGGGGATATGCACGTAATTACGGTGAATTTGACGGGATTGTAGGTACTCTGCAGCGACGCGAAGCGGATATTGGTGGATCACCTCTTTTTTTTAAGATTGAAAGAGCGAAAGTGATTGATTATATAGTAGATACCTGGCAGAGTAGGTACTTAACTAAGATTATGTTACATTATATTATAGAAGTAATTACTAAAGGTCGTAACCGCATTTCCTAGAAGAAACTAAAGGTCGTAACCGCATTTCCTACTCCTAAAACTCCAAAGGATATAAAATCCTTCCTTGGTCTCGTTTTCTACTATCGCCGTTTTATCCTAGACTTCTCCAAGACAACAAAAGCTTTTACCAGTCCCCTGAAAAATGAAATGCCATTTAAATGGGAAATCAACAGCAGGCCGCCTTCAATACAATTTAAGTATATTTATTTAAAAATACATTTAAACATCCATGTCTTAGTATGACATATACACATATACTAAATGCTCGTATATATCATACTAACATTTACTAGGCCACACCTTGAAAGCCGGCGGACAAACTACCCAGCTACGGAGGTTGTCAGTTGATGATAGTTGTAATTAAAATATCTTCAACCGTAGACTGCAGCCTATACCTATCTCTCAATTGTCAATTTAATAACATACCTACCTATTTATTGACTTTTCGTGGAATTTTCAGACAGTGTTTCATATTCCGTCATCCTAAGCATTCCGGTGGTTTCTACACAATCTACACGAGACCATTGACTGCCAGAGTGTGGTACTGCATACTGTGCGTACTCGCACTTTCGGCTATCATACTGCGGTTGATGTTGAAAGTTATAGCTCCAAGTCCGGATGCCGAGAATTCAGACTCTTCGTTTAGTTTGGCACTATTATTTATATGGAGTGCGATATGCCAACAAGGTATGCGGAAATGGCTCATGGCCATAGTGAAAGGATGGGGTATAGATGACTATACAACGCGCTTTCTCTCACGACCAGTAGTGTGCGTGATTGAACCTTTTCTGTTAATGCCAAACGAGCTGACAGTCCACCTGATGGTAAGCAGTCTCTGTCACCTGGGCGGGAAATCTGAACCTTACCCGCCTTTTAAAGACGCTCATAAAATTTCTTAGCTAAAAGGGAAAACCGCTGAGGGAAGTTCGTTCCAATAGGCTTATTCGTTGTTTTTTTGACAGATGGAAGTGATAATCGCCGAGCTATTTAGTGATTTGCTACTGCTTTATTATAACGCCATTATGATACTTGTTCTGAAAAGCATCGATGGATATGCAATTTTCTCTTAGTTCCATAATGCATGGTGCGTGAACGCCAAGCGTCTAGATTTGATTGATCTGAAGATTAATATGAAAATACTCAAATCAAAACGCACGGAACTCTTTTCTTCACGTAAGACCACTAACGCGTGAACGAGTGTATCTACGTGTAAAGGCAACTGTGTATGTTTGTACTGATTCAGCTGCTCTACTAAGCAATCTAGCCGGTATAGCGGGATCATTTCTTATTTAATTACGGAAGAGCATTTTCTATTTATTGTAGACGATGTGCTGGTTGTCTTTATGTTTGTATCCAACTAAATTTATGGGTAGACGTATCCTCTATAAGAAGTAATAATAACCCACTATTCATGCTTTATCAATTCAGGCATGCCAGTCGACAGAAATTCGACGTCCGTCAAAATGGTAATATTCGTAACATTCATATACGCGGTAACTTTGTATCAGTACTACAACGCCACTGTGGTTTCCACATTGCTGAGAGAGCCACCGAAAAACATCAGAACCTTGGAGGATCTCGTCAAAAGTAATCTCAAGGCAGGAGCTGAAAACGTACTGTACGCAAAGGATTTCTTCAAAGTAATTAAATAAACTCAACATAAAATATTTGTTTCTTAAGTTTTCACGCACACCACTCATTAAATAAAACAAAGCTTAAACGGTTTAAATGTTTTAAAATAAAAAAAATCAAAAAGAATTAAATAAAGTACTTTATTAAGTTAGTTTTTATGTATGCATTATATATAGCCTATACAATTTCAATGAAGTATCCGAACGCTGAATAAAAGTCTTTCGAAGGTAGCTCGACAAAGTAAATAAAAATCATAATTCTGACGACGCAGCCTGAAAAAGATGCGAAATGTCAGGAAACAAATAAATTAACGCATTTAAACCGTTGAAGCTTTGTTAAAACATAAAATATTAGCAAAATCCTTAAAAGTAGTTGAAACACTTACTATTGCGGAAGTATGAACAAGATAAAACTAAATCTTAGAGACCCATAAAAAAGTTAACTTTGGTATAAGAACGTAAAAAACATCAGAAACGGCGACGCCTGAGACTGGTGTGCAAGCCGTTTGACCATGCTCGTCAAAACGGAATACGGCTCGAAGGACAACATTGATATTTATTATCGTACGGTTTTTCGCCGGGCCTTGGCACGGGATCAGTGTACCGGTTAAGCTTGTTTACGAGCACGGTTTATACCGGCGAACCCGAACCGTTGCCAGCGCCGGGTGTCGTTAATAAACCTCCAGTGTCCCATACTTAACTGACGACGTAGACACGGTTCAAAACAGTGCCTAGACCCGGATAGAAACGTTAACAAGCGCTCTAAGTTTCCGAGATTAAGGATTTAGTTTCTGCTGAACCGCACTCCATTTTATTCTTTCATCATCATCATCAGCCTATTAATGTCCCCATTGCTGGGGCACAGGCCTTCCCTATGGATGAAACAGGGAGATAGAGCCATGACCCACCACGCGGGCCCAGTGCGGATTGGCGGGTGCTAACGACTGCAGATGCAACCGGGACCAACGGCTTAACGTGCCTTCCGAAGAACGGAGGAACTCGAGAATGAAGATTTTTGGTCACCCATCCAATGACTGACCACTGTGAAAGTTGCTTAACTTCAAGGATCGCAGATGAACAACGCTAACCACCTGCGCCATCGATCGCCTCAATTCTCCTTTATTCTTTGGTAGCAATCCTCCTTTTATTCTTTGGTAGCAAATAAATTTATGTATTTTAGTTTACGACCGATGAAGTTGCTTTGGAAATGTACCGTAAGAAGATCGCGCCTGCCCACCAATACAATTTTTATACAGTGGAACATGGCATGGCTTTGGTTAAGCGAGGGGGTTTCGCTTTTCACGTGGACAGTGGGCTAGCCTACAGGTAAACATAAATTATTGCATAAAAAGTCAATACACACATTTAACTGAGAATCTAAAAAGAGAGAGTCATTTGTCGGACCTATCATTAGAAAAAAATCGTCCTGCGGTTCTTTTTACCCGACTGCGCAATGCAAGAGCGCGTAGCGCGACGCGCAGACAGGGTATATTATATTTACATACCGTTAATATTTATTTTTACTAAAAGTAAAAAAGATAAAGTGGTAGATATTTAATTTTCAATAATGTGTTTATTTATATTAGGGGTACTTTTCATAGATCCAATTTATTTTGTAATGTGGGTAATGTGTGTAAAAAAGTTGTAAGTATTGTGGTTACCATCACACGTAATCATAACTGAGAATTCAATAATGTAGGATACTTCTTTAAATATTATTTAAAGCAATAATATTAGAATACAATCTTAAACTACAAATTTTTGGCTAAAATGCATCAAATATTTTAATTTTATAATGAGTTGGGCCTAGATATTTCCCATGAATTCGTTTTTGAGCTTTTCGACTCGAATATATTAACCTCGTATTCACAGTGTAGCATTTTGTCTACCTCTGCTAAATTTTACTGCTTGCCAAACAAACTTAGCTTCAACTACAAATCTTTAGCAGTACTTACAGCAAATTTTGAACACGTAAGAATTGAGAGTCCACCAACTGATTGGATTTTCTTTATTTCTAGCCACTTCACAGAGCTAATTTTTTATACCTTGTCTTACAAATTACCTTCTAAATATTACTACATATTCAACAAAATTATTTAAATTGGTCCGATATAGTAATATTAAAACTGATGCGTTTTATCTCAGAGCCCACATTCGGTGAGTCGTAGCATTCGACTTACAACAGCTACAAATTCCTTCTGGCTACATTTTTTAAGGTCCTGTTAAATATTAATGCACGCACATTCTTTTTTCAAGTTAACTTAATTAAAAGTTCGATTTTTACACACATAATCTATACTTATAATAAATCTGTAGAGAGGTCAATTCTGTACATGAAATATATTTTCAAAATAACTATCAGGGAGTGATTAGTGATCGATACTGATGCCAAAAATGCAATCAGTAAAAATTTTGTCTGTCTGTCTGTCTGTCTGTGTGTATGTTCCTTATAGAAACAAAAACTACTCGACGGATTTTAACGAAACTTGGTACAATTATTCTTCATACTCCTGGGCAGGTTATAGTATACTTTTCATCACTACAATCAATAGGAGCAGAGTAGTGAAGGGAAATGTTGGGAAAACGGGAGAAGTTACTCCATTTTTTCAGCTTCCGTCGCGTGTGCAGCCTTAATGGTTAAAGTTACATAGAAAAGAAAAATGTATGACGGAAATATTCTACATAAAATTATCTAAAAAATATTCCGCAACAGCATATGTCTATCTTTTATGGTTGACTCACAATAACACGTGTAACTCCTGATAGCTTAGCAGTTCGGAGCACTCCGATTATATAACGTAAATATGAGAATTTTAGTTTGATTATAAATACAGGTAATAAAAATTACCGTTTTTATCTATATATGTATATAAAAGTCAAAGGGGACTGACTGACATAGTGATCTATCAACGCACAGCCCAAACCACTGGACGGATCGGGCTGAAATTTGGCATGCAGGTAGATGTTATGACGTAGGTATCCGCTAAGAAAGGATTTTGATCAATTCTACCCCCAAGGGGATAAAATAGGGAATGAAAGTTTGTATGAAACTTTGTCAATTTTAAACCAATCGGGCTGAGACTTTGCATGCAGGTATAAGAGGAATCATAGATGAATGTAATTGTGTTTAATACAAGCCTGAGAAAAAAAACTATAGTGTACACTTCAGCTCTACACCGAAGCGAAGCGAGGGCGGGCCGCTAGTCATAATATAATTATGTACATTTTACTTGCAGAATAATGAGGCGTCAATTCACTGAAAGGGAAATTTGCGAAGCATATGAGATTCTCTTGTATCCACCTCAAAGAATGGGATTCGTTGTCAGGAAGTCCTCGCCGTATAAGGAATATTTTAAGTATGGGTGAGAACATTGGATGCACAAATACTATCATTAAAAAAAATAAACAAATAATAAAACCGACTTCAAAATCGAAAATGAAACTAAAAAGTAAAAAATAATACCTGATTCATGATTTGGAAGTTGGACGGGTCAAGATTGAAAGACGTAATATTACCGATCAGAAACGAAAATCTATTTAATGTTGTAACTTTTATTTTTTAAGAATGTAACCGCTTGATGTTCAAATCTAAAGAAAATATAACTAGAAAAAGATCCACGCGGACCAGTTTATTTAATGTTTATTTTTTGAAGTCGGTTTTATTTTTTATTTAATTTTTTTTATGACATCCATTTTAGTGAAAATTACATCGTCCAAGTAAACAATCACACAATTGACGGAGAAATCGGTGAACATGCATAAAAGACATCGTGTGTGCCTTTGATATTTGAAGGTTTCCCTCGATTTCCCCGGATTCCACCATCAGATCCTGATTTGGTTCCAATGGGACAACCTCGGAAGTGCACTCTTTCGAATAAAAAATGAATTTTGGAAATCGGTCCACAATTGACGGAGAAATCGGTGAACATACATAAATATATATATACAGGGCGTCCCACGGCTACCTCACACGGAGGGAAAGTATATTGAAGATAGGATATTTTTCTGAAAGAAGACATCATTTTATTTTTAATTATAACTGGAACTGCATTCACAGGCGCTCCTTAGTTTTCATAGAAAATTTGACGATGGCGATACGAATACGGTACCCTTAGCACGAACCAATAACGAATTCGAATAATTTGTGAATCCCGAAATGTCATTGACAAATGTGTACTGCTTTTTAGTTCTCGTTACGTCCTTTGTGGCGCTGCTGTTCAAGTTTCCATACAAAATTTTACAATATTTCGGACTCGCAAACTATTCGTCTTCGATATTGGTTCGTGCGCAGGAGTACAGATCTGGTTAAGTCCGTGCTTGGGGTACTGAGAGTTCCCTGTCCAACTGTACCTGTAAAGTAAAATAGGCAGATAATGTGATAGATGGAGAGATCTTGCGGCTAATAGGTATTTGCTGCAACCATCGCTTCCTCTTACTAGAGTTGTAAAGTTGTCAATTTGATCTTTATGTCTTTGGTATGAATTCATATCGATGGAGCACTCAACACGCGAACTTGGCGAGGCGTGTACATAATGCTTCTCCTACATATGCGGGACGAGGCTTTGGTACTAAAATGTGCGTTCAAAACTTGTATTAGTTCCATTGTAAGTACGCAACTCGCAACTTCAGCTGCACATACAAAATCGTTGGCCGCAACCTCTTTTACGCATGCCAAAAATCGCCAGTTAAGCTTTCGTCTATAATAGCTATAAGTAGCGGCACGAAACTCTAGCACTGACTGTTATGGCGCAGAAGTAAAAATTAAGATGTCTTAGGGGGAAACGAGGTGCGCGGGTGGGAGTGCGTTGTGCCTATTGGCTCTCCAGTCGTATCCATGCGTAGCTATCCCCTCCGCGTTTTGTTCAGTGCTAGAATTACGTGCCGCGACCTGTACCCTTAGCACGAATCAATATCGAATTCGTATCGTTTGCGAGTTTGAAATTTCATTGTCGAATGTGCCGCTGCTGTTCAAGTTTCCATACATAACTTGACATTGACATTTCGGTTTGCAAACTATTCGAATTCGATAATGGTTCGTGCTGGATGTAGGTGTAGGGTGTGATAAATAATTACGGTAGAACTAAATTCAATTTTCAAACGTTAATTTCAGCGTATTTAGTACGAAGCTTCGTCTTGCAGGCGTAAGAGAAGCATAAGGCTGTTATAAGAGCCCAACTAGTCTTAAATTTACTAGGAACCATTGGTTGAATTCAGTTCAACTGCGATCGTGAGGAGCTCGATGGCGCAAGTGGTTAGCGCGTTCAGCTGCGATCGTTGAAGTTAAGTAACTTTCGCAGTGGTCGGTCATTGGATAAGTGACCAAAAATTTATCTCGAGCTCCTCCGTGCTTCGGAAGGCACGTTAAGCCGTTGGTCCCGGCTGCATCTGCAGTCGTTAGCACCCGCCTATCTGCACTGGGCCCTATTCCATCCATAGGGAAAGCCTGTGCTCCAGCAGTGGGGACATTAATAGGCTAATGATGATGATGATTGATCAGGATTGTTGATTACAGGGTGAGAAAAGCTTTCGAGAGTGGTTTGATGCACCGTTTGAAATCAGAGTGGGACGTTTCAAAGCCGCTTTGTGTCCATACGCCCGATAGCAGCGTGTTTTCCGTGTCTATACGAGAGTTTTCTACAGCCCTATTGGCGCTTACGGGAGGAATGGTGGCATCTATAATCTTGCTTCTGGGAGAAATAGTGGTGAAGATGCAACAGACAAAGCGACGAATGAGCCGCCATATTGCTTTTCAACATTGATTGGTTTTGCAGTTGTTACGTTACTTGAGAGTTAGATAGAGTTTTAAGATATCTATTATTATAATTATTTAGTTCCACTATTATAGTGGAATGTATGAAGTAAAATATCTTTTCCTTATTCCTTAACCCCTAAGATTTTGCACTATTTGCGTGTAAGGTATACTTGTTACCCGAAAACAATAATGAGAAACTTAGCTTTATGTTAATTTACGAATGTTGTAATATTACCCATACTTTTTTACTTACGCTATTAATGTGTAGGATGTCTAAGGATGCGTAGAAAATTAAATAAAACTTGTTTATCTTCCATCAGATATTTTTATTTATTTGGGTACATGACATCCTGGCCTTACATCTCTCGCGGAACCCATGAAAAATTACAAAGATCAAAAATCATCTGATCAATCAGTATGTATATTCATTCAATATATTATGTTAGCTTTTACATCATAATATGTATCTAATGTAAACATCGTATATACACCTTGCAACTGTTTAGTACGACTCAACCTTCAACGGTGTTGCAAGTCGACAATTTAAAAACAACAATAAAAATTGCCTTCAGCAAACTATTTTCCTACTGTATAAGCTTTAAAAAATGCCTGCAAATATCGGCTCCTTCTTATGTCGACACTTAACTTGGCTATTCGAATTTGCTATTTGAAAACTTGACACTAAGTCTGTCCTTATCATGCTTTATAAGGAATGAAAAGTACAAACAAGATGTCAAGTTTACAGAAAGATAGCCAAGTGATGTGTCGTTATTACAGTTAATCTAGCTACAATTGTGTAAGCGTGAAGGAACTGTTTCGTATATCGACCGTTTATTGTAAACTATTCTATGCAATTACAGTAAAAAAAGAAAATGAATATTATACAACACAAATATGAATATAAAGTGGAGTCGATTCGACCTCCTCAGTCAATCAAGTACTTTACATTAACTAGTTCCATAAAATAAGACAACACACACGAATGTATTATAACATAATGCCACTACGTAAATTCCTTAACAGTTTCGTGGAATTAGTGTGAACTCTGGGTCCCTGTTTTTATACTTGTAATAGAGAAATTTAATAGTGCTATTTATTGGAACATTTTGCCTTCAATCCACCCGGTTCGCACCACCGAACATAAATATTAATTATATTATGTACAGGCAACATTGTTTATTTTTCACAGGCCATTTCAATTGGGGATATTGGCAGTTGAGTAAATTTTACTAGGTGAATTCGGTTGCAAAGCGTTGCTTATATATTTTTATATTTAAAAATGACTGTTCTCGTTGTACTTTGGATAAATTATAAAATATATGGAATACTCAGTAAAAGTAGCTAACGAGGTTGATATAATTGCCATGGAACCTAATGATTTCACAGTGACTTACATCAAATCACAATCGCCGAAAATATGAATATCATACATACCATGCTAATAATACTTGTGTTGCCATAGATCAAAAAGAGTATCAGTTTAATCAAAAACATATATTTTTTTAAATTTATAAAAAGCTACAGTGCGTAGTTGTTTTATTGTTAACTCACATAATACCTAATATTATAACGAATACATTTTCTCATTGACCACTTAGTCACTGTTATAAAATAACTTATAGTATTGCCATACTACAAAACGATGATTGATGATGCAACGACAGTCGGCAACACTTAATGTCAAATTTCCTCACTCAATTACAAATTTGTACTAAGCAACATATAGCTCTAATTCAGTAGGAGAAATTTAACAGTTTTGGTTAACATGGCCTGTGGTTGACATAATTTTGACAGCTAATATGTATTTGAATGATAAATAGTTATTTAAATATGCTACCTCTGCGTTTCTGGAAATTTGACCATGTAAGTTGAAAATACACTCTGAAAGCTAAGGGAGTTTTCATTTTACTTGCGTCTTAAAAACGCTCTATGGTGAAACAAAATACTTTGTATAAAAATAATAATCTCAGGATGAGAAAAATATCTTCAACTAAATGCAATCAACGGCCTTACACAATTCGCAGAAAGCAAAGACACCAATCCAATTTACTGATTTTTAAGCTGTAATCTTTTTCTAAAAACAATGCATGGTGTCGATTCTGGCATGATCATCTAAACCTAAATTTGACAACAGTGTATCCTTGTCATACTCTATACAGAATGAAAAGGAGGGACATGTTAAATTTAAGTTTAGAGAGTCATGCCAGAATCGCAACCATAGGTGACTATTCTGGCATGATACCAACTTAAAAATTTCATACTATAAACTGTTCATATTAAGAGTGGCAAGTGTGATCTAAACTTATATTTTAAAACAGTTTACAGGCTTCATAATTACTTTACATTCTTTATGAAACGAAAAAGTGATAGCATTAACAATCCACCCCAATCAACGTATTGAAGTAGGGCCATTCAAGGATTATTATGAAAATTTAAATCAGGTAAAATAAAAGCAAACAACTAAATTTGGTAAGTACGGCTATTTCAATAACAGGTATCTCTGTCTTTTTTAGAAGATTTTTCGATCGAAATTTCTTAATAATAATAAAAATATGTATAACTAGACCGTTTCAAGGATAGAAAAAGTAACAGGGTATTTGACAGTATCATAAATAAAGTACGATTTTTACAGAAAAATCATTGATTATTTTACTCGTAAATAATGAAGCAGAAAATATATTTATCTATTTAACTTCACGTAACGTGACTTCCGGTCACTGAAATTACCTGTACTGTTTGGCATTTAGATGTCAGCTGGTACAAATAGGTATTACCCAGAGAAATGACTCGGCATATTTGAAAGCAATTTTTTTAATGATTTACGCAACAGGATAAAAAAAAACTAAGTCCTTTTAACGGACTCCATTATACACGAGTAAATAACGTAAGTTATCAAATACCCTATTTTAACAAATATTTGTTAACATCTACAGAATTTTGCGTAAAATAAGTGAATCTTTTCTCATGATGATGAATACCTAAAACATACACTTCTGGACACATCTATCGGCTCATTTAGCATTTTAAGTTTGAATAGTCCTAATAGACTAAGAGCTAGCGGTCAATCCGAGTAACTTGTTTGACACAAGGCTAGAAATTTGTAAAATAATGTTTTAGTATTGGTTAACTAAGAAAATACCGTTCTGGCAGGCATCTCGCGGTTGCGTCATCATCCCCTAAATTTTTGAAAATGTTAAAAAAATAGTAAAAAAAATCTGCTTTTACAAGGCTAAAATTTTAATATGTTTTAATTTACATATGTTTAAAGGTAAAAAAAAATTGACAGTCGATTTTGTCGGTTGCAAGTACGTGCCAACCCATAATAAAGTTGTTATGGGGATAGCAATTCATAACTTGCTTTTACAAGGCTGTAATTTTGAGAAAATATTCTTTAAACAATTTTATAAATATATTTAAAAAGCCAGAATATTCTGGCGGTTGCAAGTGTCTACTAAGTTAATATATAATGGTCGCGACGCGTCGTAAGGTGCGAGCGTAATAGGCTTATACGGGTCTCTGTGTCAGAAAGGGAGAGTACATCTATTGTGTGTAGAGTGCACGTGCCTTGTGCATGATCTGAAGGGAAATTCTGTTGAGATTTGTCAGTTATAACGCTGAGTAGTGCAGAGTTCAGATCGTTACAGTCAATATTTTCTATACACATTTTAAAATTCTTTACTGATTTCGTGTTTGTGTGTAATTATTTTATTTTTTATTAAGTTCTAGTGTTTATTATCAGTGTAAGTTATAGAACTATTAGCGTAAAGTATAAGTTTTAATACTGGTGTTAATTATGGAAACAATGAACATTATTTGTGTCATATGCAGACGTGATATCTGCGAAAAAACAATTAAATTTACATCCAAGACTTTGGCAAAGTGTCATGAAATTTTAAAAATTAGAAAACTTCATAATCTAAAATATAATAATATTGTTCTGCCTGAAGATGTAAATAATATAGACGGATATCACGTTAAATGCTACAAAAATTTTGTGGCGGTAATGAGCAAATATTTGGAAACACCATTACAAGGTAAATATATTTCACAACTATGTACTTAATACTATGTATTAAAATGCGATTTAAATAAATTAAATAAAAAAATGCTAGTATTTTCTTATATTGATATTTGTTAAACAACTATATTTTTAAAATTTTATTTCTTTTATGGTAAATTATGGGGTCAATATAACATTGAAATTTAACTTAACAAATATTTTGTACTGATTCCTGAAATTTTACAACTATTGAAATTTTAGTTCAATGTCTGTTTGGAGCTCAGGGCAAATAATTACTAATTCCTAATCGTTTTCATTAATAACTAAATATTTAATAATTAATTATTATGCAATTATTTCGGTAATTGACTTAATTTTATGTAAGAGTGAACGCCACTGTAATAGGTCAAAAAATATTAATTTTTTTTGCATTCTCTTCAAGTATAGATATTCAAAAATATGTACATTCAAAAGTAAAAATAATGAAAATCGACTGAGTTACCGTTAATTTAGTGGGATCAGGTACCAGGGCAGAATAGCGCAGTCAGGTATTGTGCTCAGGTAGCGCGCCCAACTGTGATTCACAATTGAAAAACTTTAAATGCGTATTTCTTGAAACGAGTATTTTCAACCTTGTCCTGACGAAGACACGAAGACTAATAAAATTTTATTTTCAAATTTTCGTAATTGCAATGGCTAAGTGTAAGCGTGGCCTATTATTGAAATTGCCAAATTTTATTAATTACTATTTTTTAAAATACATGCAATTTAGTAAATTTTCTATATTTTTTAATAAAAATTTGTAAATCTATGGTTTAATGTATACTCTATCAATTATTTTTTAACCGATTCTTGAATAATTAATTATATATAAGTAAAAAATTTACAAACATCGACAATTGTTCTGACTGTTACAGTGGTGTTCCTCCTTCATTTTTTATGATCTTCGAATTGTTTAAAAAAATTTAGTAACTGGGGCAGGCTCATCATACTTTTTATAAAGCTGACTTTAACTCTAATTATTTAAATTTATATGCTTATTTATGTACATTATTGTTTTAATAATTTGCAGTTTTAATTCTTTTTATAAACATATATTGATATTACTTTTAGAGACCGCTGCAGAACGAACAGAAAGGATTCAAATGCCTGAAGATTTACCAGGGCCGTCCTCTCAAGATGATAATAGATTAGTGGAAGGACTTAATCTGAGTGAAGCTGATATCCCAGATGATACGATTCAAAGTACTGAAGAAAACCTAGGAAGTGTGGAAAAAGTATGTTTCGTGTGCGACAAAAAAGTTAAAAAAATTAAAGGGCGATATCAACTTTT